GACAGACCTCGTAACCATTTTGTGCTTGTTATAGTTTTCATGCTATAACTTTTAAATTAATAAGTGTATCTTCATGAAATTTTGCATGTTATCAAGTAAACATTACAAGGTTTTCATACCCAAAATATCAGATTTTTTAATGAACTTTTAAGATTTTTTAAGTAATGTTTTTCTTATGCCTTTTTTCATTTCAAGTGTTGACTATCCAACATGCAAAGTAATTTTGATTTTAAGATTAAAAATACTTCTTTGCATCAGAAAATTTTCCATTTTTTGCATCAATATCTTTAGATTCTCCAGATAATTATCAAACATTTTTTAAGAAATAACTTTATATTTTATCTGTTATTTTCACTATAGTATCTCTGTAAAGGTTTGGTCAACTTAACCGACCTCATAAACACTATTAAAAAATTAGGAAATAAATATAGATTATCCCTATATATTTATTGTTTTTATTATATTGACCTTTCATCAGTGTTTGGCTAACATGTCTGAAGTTGCAATGATGCAGCACACATGCACTCATGTTACTGTATCCAAGAATATAAAGCTGGCCTTTTCAAAGTGACCTGTCTTGGCTGTGTTTTAGTGGACTAGTATTTTGTAAAATACAGTCAAATTTCAGTTATAATACATTATATATGTATACACATTATTATCATTTACAAATAAGTTCTTAAACTTGTTTGTCTTAAAACGTAGAACAGTAAATGAAGAAGCATAGCAAACAAATATCTGTTCTAGTTACCAATTTTGTACTCGGTTGCTGCTTGCCATAGGTTGCTAAGCCTTATCAAATTTCACACGTGGAGGATGTGAAACGAAATAACTTTTTTAGGTTTTATATATACATTTTGAGATAACAAAAAATCATTAATTACTCTATATTTACCATAGAATTTCACAATAATTTATCAAGCTTAGTAACTAAGCTGTGTTTGGGTCTAAAAAAATATGAAATTGAGTTCACTAATGTCTTACCCTACCACTTAGAATCTAGCATGAAAAGAAAGTTTGGCACACAAATACTTTGCAGATGCTGAGAAAGCCACAAGGGGGGACATTCCGAGCTTTCGACTGGTTATACACACGTCACTGGGCGAATTAGGTGTACATGAACAATTATTTTCAAAAACTGAAGAAGTGGGCTGGACCAACTTGGTTGATTAAATAAATATATTAATATCTCGGAAAACAGAAAAGATAGGAGGTTGTTATTTTTTATTCTAGCTTGTCTATATCGACAATTTGAGTATCTAATTTGTAAGAAACTAGAGACTTTGTATTTGGACATTACAAACATCTAATTTAAACCTATGCTGCATTCAACATACCACGTGACACAAAAATTTATATTTAGGTATTTTTTAATATTTACTTTTAAATTAAAAAATTAATTGGTATATAATACTAAAATATAAATTATAATCTACAGTTTGATACCAAACTTTTTGACATACCTTCGTAAAATAGTAGTTCAATAAAATTTTGAATGCGCGTCAACAAACGCAATGAAATGGCCTTAGGGGAATTAACAAATAAACAGATTTTGAAAACAAATTTTAAAATATGATAATATTTGTTGACTTTTAGTATCATAAATTAATAAAAATGCAACAAAAAAGTTATAATCTTTCCAAAGCAATTTTCAGATGAATGTGCTCATATCCCTGTGAAATAAATTAAGTAAATATTTATCCCTATGACCCACTAATAATAGCACTGACTAGTTTCATAAAATAACAGTATATGGCAATATATGCTAGTTTTAACAACTTCAAGTGACAACTAAAATTAGACAAGTATATAAAGTTTTAGATGCATCTTATTAAAAACCAAAAAAAGAAGAAAACCATGACATTAGTTTGTAAGTACAACCCAGTGCCTTATATTCCATGACTTGTACTTAAACCACTGTATTATTAAATTTTAAGAAATAAAAATGTAACTTCAATTTACCTACAAAAATATTTAAATGTTCACTATCCTTTCCACAGTTTTAGTCGAAAACTCTTTTCTTTTATAAGTTTTTACCTTAAAATGATTTCTAGTCCTGTCTGCTGTTTATGAAAAACATCTGAATTCATCTATTCCTAACCTTTAACAGCTTTGAAGAACTCCATCACACCCCTAAGGCCCTTAATTTTTTTTTACTACAATTCTTAACAGGTTAACATTTCTTTATAAGTAAAAATAATAAATGGAAACATCAGATTTAATATATTTTGTGAAGCAAAGTCATTAAAACATGTTAAAGGAATGTTTATAAACTGTATTCAAATTTTCACTTCATCTTTAGCCAATGAATTTTATTAGTAATCTATAAAACAACTTAGCCTTCCACAAACATACTAGAAAAATAAAATTGTCTGTTGATGACAATTTATATATTTGTGACCAGTTGTTCAACCAGTTGAATTGGTGTATCTGGATTTTTCAGAAAGCACACACAAAAGGCTTGTAAAAAACATTCTCTATGGGTGTGGGGGATAAGTTAGCTAATTGGATACAAGAGTGGCTTGATGGAAAAAAGCACAGGTGTTGTAAGTGGACTTCAGTCAAACTAGATTAATGTTACAGGTGAAGTACCTCAGGGATTAGTCTTAGAACCTTTGCTTTTTTGGATTTACATCAATGACAAATGAAGAAATGGTCAACAAGTTGCTTAAATTTGCTGATAATATTAAGGTCTTGTTTGTTGCTGGCTGTGAGGAGGATGTTGGTGCTTTACAAAAGGATTTAGATCATTTAGTAGGTTGGGCAACATTTGAAGTACTGTGTTGTCTTGAGCTCCTTACTTTAGGAAGGACATCGAGTTGTTGGAAACTATTCAGAGGAGAGCTACTAGAGTGGTGCCTGGGATGGAAGGTTTGTCATATGAGAAGTTAAGATCTGTGAAACCTTTTTCTCTTGAAAATAGAAGAGTTAGTGTGGATCTGATAGAGTTGTTTTTTTAAGCTTAAGGCAATTAATAGAATTGATGCATCATCTTTTTTCATACCTAATGGTGAGAATGGTAGAACTAGGGGACACAAATGTAAATATTGGCAGGGTAAGAGTCTTCAGCTGACAGTTTTATTTTTTCTAACAGAGTGGTTGGCCTTATGGAACAGATTGCCTTTGGATTTTGTGGAAGCAGTAAATTTGAGTTTAAGAGAAAACTTAATAAATATATGAATGATAATGGCTGGCTTTAATTTTAAGGTTGTTTTTTCTTATGTATATATTTAATAGTTTTAGTTTACAGGATAGGACAGCCTCAATGAAAAGTGGTCTTGTTGTCCCTAAACATTGTTATGAAATTACAGGACTTAGAATTCTACTGTTATACTACATGTCATGGGATAGAGCATTTAATGACCTTTACAAACGTGTATTTTGATTTGTGACACAAAGTCCTTAATTATTAACGACTCTTTGTGCCACAAATCAAATTAGCAATTTAATGTAGTTTCAAAGATTGAGTAATGAGACGTATAATTACATATATTGTAGAATAAAGCACTTAAAGTTAATGCCCTTCAAAAAATGTGTTTTGATTTGCAAGTCCTTAAAAAGTTGGTGCAGTTTGAAAGATTAATTATTATAGCATTAATATTCAAACGCTTGCTGTAGAAATGTATACTATAGAGTCGAATAGAATTCTAGCGTAATAAAACGAAACTGTAGCACTCATCATTAACATTTTGAAGATTTCTGGACTTTAGTATCATCTGTTGTCCAGAGATTACTTTTATTTAGTTTTAAGCTTTTTTTTTCTTTTGAGAAATGTGGATATTATTCTGTTGGAGATTTAATGGTTCCTTTTACCTTGTCCAATCTTGAGAGGTTGCACTTACAAGTTAACCTATCATTATCATTGACGAGGCATAAAAGTTTTAAAACAAAAACGTACACTTTAGTTTAAAATTTAATAATGAACAACACATTTTCCAACGATATCTTAACTCAAAACTATTACAATACAAATAACATACCTATATCTAAAAAGAAAAACAGATTAAAACGTACATTGCTTTATACAATACAACATACCTCTTCTCTCTAAACACACACAAGAAAGAACAATATTGGTAGTCTTTTATATATATATACATATAAACTTTACCGCTAGGTAGCGATAAATACCTTATCCTGGCTTCTACAGCTTTATGCATTTTTAAATGTAAAACCAGTAATGTTTAGAATTATTTCAACATGTACACAGATTTGTTTTCAATTAATCTAATCATCTACCAAATTCTTACGAATACAATTAATTATACTTGTCATATGACATTAGTATTAGGACTATTATATATTTTTAACATCACATTTTTTATCTAGTTCAGTTTTGCGATGTAACTAATTGTTTAGCTAATCTTTTCGCCTTTTCTAGGGGAGTATCAGTACTTCAGGATATGATTAATTCTGTGATCTATGCACGATGTCTTTAGTGAGTTCAAGTTCTAATGCCAACTGGAAAGCTTTCTTTAAAGATGCATCTACTTTGTTTTTCAGCCTAATTCCCATAGCCTTGTGTGTTATGTTATTTATAAATTGGTCACGTGACAACAAATATATTATTTCAAGTGAAATATCCAGGTAAGATAATTGGACAAGCTTTTTCAAATCTTCTACGGGTTCAGCTAAGGCCACTTCTTTTCTTCAAACCTTGTTTGCATCTTTGCTTGGGATACTTCCATCTGGTGTGTCATTCCGAACCTTTTGGATAATGAGTGATAATTGTCATGACTCTCAGCTGAAATGTTGGCTAAAGTCTATAAATATGGATATTTTAAATTGGCAGCAAGATTAATAACTTGTTATTCATTACTCTACCCATTCACTGTGGAAATTATTTAGAACTAAGACCAATATGTCTCCTATGAAACCTTTCCATTATAATGTTACGCCTCCAGTCGTTAATTGATTTTCCGTAACTTCGTTCCGACAGAACTTTAGCGACACAAACCCGTACTTAATAAAACTGGTTTATTCTTTCTGAATATAACTTCACGATACACTTGATTTCAACATTCACGCTAAAACAAACGTATAACGAACGTTAACTTCAACAATACTTT